TGAGGCAGTGTCTTGCTATGCAGCCCTGGATTGGAAGATACAGTGGGCCTCCAGTCTCTAACCCCCGCCTTTGAGTGCTGGGATCATAGCATGCACAGTAGCACCTGGCTAGCAAACATGTCTTGAGAGATCCATAAAGTGGTAGAGAATCCATAAAACGATGGTCTTTGAGAGCTCATCCTAGTCCAGAGCCCTTTGAGAAATTCCTGGGAATAGATTGGGTAGTAGCAGTTGTCAAAAAGCTGCAAGGGCTTGTTGCATATATAAAAAAGCATGGTGGCACACACCTTTAATCTCAGCACTTTGGAGGTAGGGGCAGGCAGATCTCTGTGAGTTGGAGACTGGAGCTACATGGAGACCCTGTAGGGCTATGGTGTAGCTTGATGGTAGAGTGCTTGCCTAACTTGTGCTTGATCCCCCAGCACTATGGGGGAAAAAAGTGCATGGTACGGTGACCTCTCTGCACGCTACACCTGTATTACATTGGCACAAATGAGAAAGTTGGCAAATGCCAGGAGTTAAGTGAGGCGGTGGGCCTACAGGACCTCGGTGTGGTGCTTGTGGGAAGGGAGCCAGCCCAGCCATTCTGGCGAGAAAGCAAGCACTGGTATTTGTGGTGAGGGGAAGGGGTGGAGTCTGGCTCAGGGTTCTTGTGAAAGTAAATTGGTGAGATGTGGTAGAAGTACTCTGGGGCAACAGTGAGAAGCAGTGGATTAGGTGTGCACAGTACTATGGATGAAGCTTAAGGCACACTGAGGGAAAGAAAATACAGAATGAGATATGTAATATTTATGAGATTTATGTCCACAAAATAAGTCAAAACACATTTTACAAGAATGCATCCAAACCAAAGATATCCATATCACACTGTAAAAGAATTGCCCAAGCAGCAGTGGAAGATGAATAGAGATACACATCAGCGGGGGAGTAAAAGACCTCAAAGAACTGGGAGGAGGATACCGGTGCCAAGGTGTTTCCTAATGGAAAACTCACTCTCGGGGGTGACGGTGAATGTTTAACAGGTGCTTCTCCAAGGGGCTAAAACAAACCCTGATCTGCAGTGTTTGCCGATTTCCCAAGTAAAGCTACTCGCTAACTGATTTCAAGCTAGCTGCCTGACTCACTGAATCAGCTTGGGAGTAACGTGACTCCTGCTCTCCTGGGAATATACCTTTCTTTCATTGCTTCCTGGAGATTACCCTGAAGTTGGGACAGTAACTCTTCCAAACTTCATTGAACCAAGATAAGACAAATTTAGTAGAATATCATTTCCCTTGCTTGATACACATGTATACCCTTTAAGAAGGTTCATGAATATGTACCCCAACTGAAATGTTTTTAGTTTCTTAAAAAATGGGTTTCTGGCTCGGGGTGGTGGTGCATGCCTTTAGTCCCAGCACTTGGGAGGCAGAGGCAGGCAGATCTCTGTGAATTCAAGGCCAGCTGGGGCTACAGGGAGACACTGTCTCAAAAAGACCCCCCAACCCCCCCCCCAAAACCCCTTTCTATCTCGCTGACAATTGTTTAGCATAAACTATGACTTAAGATATACCTCCCAGATAGCAGATAGGCTTAAGATAATCCCCATCTACGTAGTTATTTGGCAGGGATTCTGTTGGCATCCTGTTTCCTGAAGGAGAGATTTCTTCCTCTTCTTTTTTTCTTTTTCTTTTTCTTTTTTTTTTTTTTAAGACAGTGTCTCCCTGTAGGCCCAGATATTGTGGAACTCATTGTATAGATCAGAATGGCCTTTATCTCACAGAGATCTTCCTGCCTCTGCCACTGCCTCTGCCTCCTGAGTGCTGGGATTAAAGGTGTATGCCAAAAGGAGAGATTTCTTGAGAAAGGATTGTCATTATTGGCAAAAGGGCTAGATGGACCTCTTCCCAAATAATAACCTTTTAAAAAAAAAAAACCTCAAACATATACCAGAAGTATTTTCAAGACTTCCTGAGAAAGTAAGAATTATTCTATTTTTTCACTTTTGATTTTCTAAGACAGGTTCCCCTATAGCTCAGGCTGACCTCAACCTCCTGATCCTCCTGCCTCCACCCCTCCCAAGCGCTGAGATTGCAGGCATGAACCACCACACCCATCCAAACTATATATTTAGAATACATTTCCTCTTCCCATCCTACTAGATGGGTTTCCCAACATCAGCATCATGCTGTGTTGGACCATCCTTTGCTGTGGGGTTTGCTTGGACATTGTGGAGTATTGGGCATCATGTCCAGGTTCTCCCTACTTGGTGTCCACAGCACCGTTTATTATGACAACTGCTGAAACCTTGGGGTCAAGGAATATTTTTGTTTTGTTTTGCCCCACCTCTTCTTATTTCATTGGACCTGTCACCTTTCTTAATTCTGCCACCTTCTTTGACTCACCTGATAGTTTACAACTGAATAAGAGCAAACAGGATATTCTTTCTTGGTAGGATATGCAGAAATGGGATGTCTGTATATATAAATATATAAAACTGACTTAAATTAAAAAAATACACCAGTCATTGTCAAATGCCCCCAATGACAGCAGGCAAACTCACCCCCAGTGGAGAACCACTGCGTTGGAGCATGTCCAGGTTTCCTTTGATCAAGTCATTATGCTGGTTACATTTTTACTGGGGAGGCCTGCTAGGACCACATTAAAAGGCAGCAGCTGTCATTCTGATTCGATGAGTGTATTGCAAGTTGTACATATCTTCATGAACTGCTCTTACATTTCTGCTAGTTTCATGTGTTCCAAGTCCCTTGCAGTGTAGATAGCTTTGGGCATTCCACCTTTTGCCACATGCTATGACCAAACACTTTTGGTGAGTGGATAGCTTTTGTTTAGCTTGATTTTTAAATGGGTCCAATCTATCAAACAGCTAAAGAGAGGTACAAACCACCAAGAGCTTCATACCTTTCAAATAGCTCCTTCTGAGCCAGGCATGGTGGGGTGGTGCACACCTAGAATCTCAGCACTCAGCCTCACAGGCAGAAGGACCTCAAGTTCAAGGCCAGCCTCACCTACAAACCGAAACCTTTACCGAAAGGAAAAAAAAAAAAAAGCCAGGCCAGGCATGGTGGCACATGCCTTCAATCCCACCACTCTGGAGGCAGAGGCAGGTGGATCTCTGTGAGTTCCAGGCCAGCTAGGGCTACAGAGAGACCCTGTCTCAAAAAGACCGGAAAAAAAAAAAAAGAAAAGCCAAAGGCCCTTCCTGTTTTTGACCTCCTCAAAGCTTGAGCTGAGCCTCATCTGTGCAGTGAGGACAGCAAGACTCAGAGAGGTTAGAGTCAAACTATGACTGAGGTAGTTCATTAGCTAACAGACTTAAAATCAAGACTCAACATATTTCTGGATTATGCCACCCTTCACCATCTAAGACTTTGAAGGCTTTCTAAGCACTTTCCAAAGGGAAACTGAAGAAGAGGGAGAGGGAGGAAATGGGGAGAATACGGTGAGAAAAAGTAGGAACATTTCATCTAAATTACAATTCATAAAATAAAAAATGAAAATTGTAACTATCTCATGGAAATTAAATATATTGTTATTTTTACTGATGACTCAGAAAAGTCAAAATAACATGGTGAAACAGAAAATTCCACATTATATTACTGTACAGCATCTATTGTTTCTTCCTGGGTTTGAGTTTTTAAAAACTTTTGTTAATTAATGGGATATGTGTGCCATGTATATGTGTGGAGGTCAGAGGACAACTGTTGGGAATTGGTTCTTTCCTTTTACCATGAGTCAGGACATCAGGTTTGCATCATTGTGTGGCTAGTGTCTTAACCTGCTGAGCCATCTTGTTGGCTGGACTGGAGCTCGCTATGCAGATCAGGTTGGCCTGGAACTCACAGATGTCTGTCTGCCTCCACCATGCCTGGCGACTCAGTCAGTCTTTACTAGGGGATGGTATAGTGAGTCTTCTAAGAACTGCCCCTTCCAAGTACTAGGAATTGGTTCCTGGGAAGCCACACACCTTATGAGTGCAGATACCCTACTGGATGCCATGTAATGTGTGTGCGTATGTTCACCACTACATTTTTTATAGGTTTGGTTCCTTTTATAACATTTAATGAGAATCAAGAGTAAGTCTGTTCATTCGCTTGATAAAACTTATGTATTTCCTGTAAACTGTTTATTATCTTGAAACAAGGGTCAAACTTTTAAAAAAATTTTATTTATAATTTTATGTGTAATGAGTGTCATGCCTGCATGTAACTTAGCGTACCCATGTCATGCAATGCCTGCAGAGGACAGAAGAGGCTGTCGGATCCCCTGGAACTGGCATTATGGGAAGTTGTTAGCTGCCATGTGGGTGCTGGGATTTGAACCCAGGTCTTCTGCAAGAACAGTGTTCTTAACCGCTAAGCCATCTCTCCAGCCCTCAGGGTCAAACTTTTTGTACAAAGGGTCAGATAGTAAATATTTTAGGCTTTGTGGATCACATAAAGTCTACTTTTATACACACATGTGCATGTGTATTTATACATATAATATATATGTACATACATACATACATACACACACACAAACAAATATAAATACTAAAATGTTAAAGACATTTTTAGCTTGAGGGCCATTCGAAGATAAGTCTCTGTGTCCTTTGCTTCTCTACCAGTACCCTAAATAAGTAACTGCAAGTGCGTGCTAAGCAGCCCATTGGAGCAGCTTACTTCGCCAGACCTCTGAAGACAAACCAGAGAGAAGCTAAGACCAGTGTTGGTAATTCACAAGGCAGCTGGTAGAAGGGTCTCCAAAGCTTTTCCTTCAATAATTGAAGGGTTGAATGGTTGATTTTGTCATAAGAAGTCTGAATCTGGAAAAGTTAGCACCCCAGACGGGAAAAAAATACTTGTTGCAAGCCTGTAATCCCAGCACTTGGGAGTCAGAGGCACGAGGATGAAGAGTTAAGGCTAGTCTTGGCTACACAGTAAGTTCAGGGTCAGCCTGGGCTATAGGAGACCCCCATCTCATAAAACAAAAGAAACAAGCAAATAAGCAAAAACCACTTAGAAACAACAGTTAATTTTATGACTCCCGAGGTAGTTAATGTGGGAAATGGCATGCAAGTCATACGGCTGTCTCTGGCAGGAAATACCCCATACTCCAGCACCTGTGTGGACAGAGGAGCTCTCAGGCTGACAGGTCCAAAGGAGTACAAGCTCTACCCAGGAGGGAAACTCATGGAACCCAGTTTCCAAGAAATGTTCCAATGAGTTCACAAATGATGAGAGAACCTTATTTTAGTAAAAATGTCCTCTTTTTATGTTGGCCCCTCCCCCCACAACTAGAAAGCAGCTTGGTGGATAAAAAGCAATCTCTTTTATTTAGACGTACTCTTCTTAGGCAACTTTAAGCTTTTCCATCTTCGTAACACCACCCGGTGTTTATCACTTTCGGTCTTCTCTTCACAGACTTTTTTTAGAAGAATCCGCATCACTGTCTCTGTTCCCGTCTCTTTGTTCTCACCAATGAGAAGATCTAAAGTATCTCCTACTTTTACCTGAAAATATAAAGGAAAATGGAAGTTTACTACATTTTGGGAAACACATCCCTGCTTTGAGTTTTAACTTGGTGAGCGTCATAAAGGAGGAGCAAGTACCAGCCTAGTACCGTGTCATGTGAAGGGCATGTAGGGAAGGAGCCTCAAGCACAGGGGCTCAACACAAGCCAGTGCCCATCATTCAGACACAGACAACTGGCCTATGCCTGATCTGTGTTCGGGCAACTCAATTACATAACAAGGTGATTGAAGGAAGCATCTGAACAAACTCATTTGTTTAGCGAAGACTGGCAAAACACAAAATGGTGGGGCACAGCCTTAGCAAGTATGTGCAAAGTACGAGAGGCAATGGAAGATAACTCAAACTGATTTGTTTTTGTTGTTTTGGTTTGTGTTTTTGAGACAGGGTTTCCCTACAGCCCCAGCTGGTCTGGGACTCACTATGTAGACCAGTGATCTCACAAAGATCTGCCTGCCTCTGCTTCCCAAGTGCTAGGATTAAAGGTGTGAGCCACTATACCAGGTTTATTACTTGCACTGATTTTAATGCAGATGACCTACATAAAATAGGAATGGGAAGCCGGGCGTGGCAGTGCACACCTTTAATCCCAGCACTCAGGAGGTGGAGGCAGGCGATCTCTGTGAGTTCAAGGCCAGCCTGGTCTACACAGTGAGTTCCAGGACAGCTGGGGCTACAGGGAGACCCTGTCTCAAAAAGACCAAAAAAAAAAAAAAAAAAGGATGGGGCAGCTAGCCTCAACCAACAAAGGCATAATGCACAGAAAAGTGGAGGATTGGGCTAAAAGGGCTGAGGTCAAATTAGCCTTATCAGAAGGAAGTTGTGGCTAGATCTTGTCAACTCACCCTGGGGCAGCCATGCCAGGTCCAAGGTCCAACCAACATTGAGGACTCAGGTCTATGTTAAGGGTACAGGGAGCACATAGCAAATAACTGGTCCAAGCAGTTCAGGACTTTAGGGGATCTTGCCAGGGACTCAAGAGAGGCTAAACCAATCCTGCTGTCACATGCTGCTGCTTCTACTAAAACATAAGGTAGGAGTGGGGCTCAGAGGTTAAGAGCAGATGCTGCTCTTCCAGAGAACCCAAGTTCTGTTCCCAGCTCACAAACACCTACAACTTCAGCTCTAGGGGGATCTCATGTCTCTGACCTAAGGGCACTTGCTTCCATGTGGGCACAGACACACATGCATACATATAACTGGAAATAATAAAAATAAATCTAAAATGGGCAGGATTGACAGGACTCTGCCTCTCAATTGCTTCTAATAGTAGAGGGAGGTGGAATAGAGCAGCTCATGTGTGGGCTGTTCAAAAGCCTACTGCAGGGCTTCAGCTTAAGATACATGATGGCAAATGCTGGCTTTTACCTGACTGCCATTATGTTCTCTGAATGTTCTCCAAAGCAGATATAACTTCAGAATGTCAAAATATTTTTCTTGAAAAAGGTCTTAACTATGTAACCCAGGTTGACCTCAAACATGTAATCCTCCTGCCTCAGTCTCCCAAGTGCTAGGATTACAATGGTGTGCCACCATACCCAGATTTGTCAAAACGTTTGCACCTCATCAGGGCAAGCCTTTATTTGTCCTACCATTCACTCAAGACTTTGGAAGCCCAATGTTCAGTTTATAATGTGATGCACACAGGGGAACCACAACACTACACTCCCAGGAAGCCCAAGGTAACTGGATGTAAAACTCACACCAATAACTTCCTTCTCTCTGGGCTGAGAAACAAGGCTTATACCATATCTAGGCATCAAGACTGATTCCTTCTATAGGTATGAAGAATATGTCTACCTAGGTATTATCTGGGAACCCTGTCTTCCTATGGTTCTACTGGGTTCCATCCAAAAACTGACCAAATCAATCGGTGTAGTCATCTGTAAAATCTTTGTATAGAAACACAGGGCTTTTGAGCATGGTGTTGCATACCTTAATCTAGCACTCAGAGGACTAAGGGTGAATATATGGAAGCAAGCCTGGACTACCTAGTGAGATCTTGTCTCAAACCCCCACCCCCCAAAAAAACCTCTCCTCTCCTCAAACATGGGGGAGGGGGAGGGGGAGGTGTTTAGAAACTGCCTGCTCTCTCTTTTTTGGCATATTTTATTTCATTAAAATCACTTTTTTTTTTTAAGCAACGTGTGATGGCACTATACCAGGTTTACTACTTGCACTGTTTTTAATGCAGATGACCTACATAAAATAGGGATGGGAAGCTGGGCGTGGCAGTGCACACCTTTAATCCCAGCACTCAGGAGGGAGAGGCAGGCAAATCTCTGTGAGTTTGAGTCCATCGATATAGAGTTCCAGGCAAGCCAGAGTTAGATGATGAGACCCTGTCTCAAAAAATACATATTCGTCTTTTTATAGTCAGGGTCTCCCTCTAGCCCCAGCTAGCCTGGAACTCACTTTGTAGACCAGGCTGTCCTTGAATTCAGAGATCCTCCTGCCTCTGCTTCCCGAGTGCTGGGATTAAAGGCGTGCACCACCACACCCAGCTCATTAAAAAAAAATCACTAAACATCACTAAATGTTATATGAAATATATATATATATACATTTCATATAACATTTAGTTCTTTCCAGGGAGGGATGGGTGTATGTGACCATGTGTATAGATCAGAGAACAAGTTTGTGAAGTCAGTTTGTTCCTTCACCATGTGGGCCCCAGGGATCAAACTCAGGTTTGTCAGGCTTAGCAGCAAGCGCCCTTACCCATGAGCCATCTCATTAGTCCAAAATTTACTTAAAAAAAATTTCTTTGAAGCTGGGCATGGTAGCACACACCTTTAATCCCAGTACTCAGGAGGCAGAGGAGATCCATATAGTGAGTTCCAGGTCAGCTGGGGCTACAGAGAGACCCTGTTTCAAAAAAGACCAAAAAAAAAAAAAAAAAAAAACTATATTTATTTGGTGAGAGCGATACTTGTACCTTTATGTGCTCATGGAGGTCAGAGGACAACTTGTGGGTGTCGGTCCTCTCCCTCACGTGGGTCTCGGGACTGAATTCAGGTTGTCAGTCTTGGCAGCAAGCGATTTACCCTGTGAACCATCTCTTTAGTCCTAAAATTCACTTTTAAGTCAGATGTGATTGCTCATGCTTATAACCTTAGTATTTCGGAGGCTGAGGCAGCAGGATCACTGCAAGTTCGAGGCCAGCTGGGTTATATAGTAAGTTTCAGGCCAAGCAGGCCTACACACACAATGAGACTATGAACAAAAAAGAAAAAGAAAAAAAAACCAAACAAACAAACCATGAAAATATAGGGGGAACTAATTGGGAAGACGATCAGGGAGAGTGAGAAAAGGATGAGAGAGGATAATGAAGGGTTGGATATAATAAAAATAAATGCATGTAAGCCATGGAGGCCACTCTTTAATCTGAGTACTCCAGAGGCAGAGGCAAGTGGATCTCTGTCAGTTCAAGGCCAGCCTGGTCAGCTGGTGCTACAGGGAGACCCTGTCTCAAAGAGACCTAAACAAAAAACCAAATATAAATGCATGTATAAAAATGAATAAACATATAAAAATATCAAAAAAAAGAATAAAAGAAAAAAAGTGACATTTGTAAAAGGCGCAGCTAGAGTGAAGGGTGAATGCTTGGGGGGTAGGCTCCTAGGTGCAAGAGAGATGTTCTCCTTTGCCCAGCCAACTCAAGGACAGGCGAGAGTTAAGGGCGACATCAATCCCTGGGCTGGGGTTCTCTCTCCTCTGTGTAACTACAGTCACTCAGCACCTGTGCATTCTGGGCCCACCTAGTTTGTCCAGTGCAGAAAAGCTTTGCTTAGTGGCAGGTTCAGGGCTGGAGCTGTAGCACAGACAAGAGCCCAGTTCTCAGGGCCTACAGCCAGGGACTGGCTCCATGGCACAGGCTAAGGAAAGCAGGCATTTTTCAGTCCCCTCGAAGGCCCTGTCCTTTAGCAGACACAAATCAAAACTGGCTGGGATTAGTGGCTGCTCCAAATATCTACATTTCAAATCTCCCCTTAGCTGCAGTTTCTATGGCTACCAGGGCTCCTAGTAACAAGGCAGCTGAGTGCTAATACTGGCCTCTGCCTTTGCTGACCCTCAGGAGAAATATGGAAAGCAGCTGAGAACAGAATACCCAAGGCAGAATGAAGTACAGCAGTTAGGCTGTAGTTAACAAAATCTCAGAGCAGGGGAAAAAACAGGCTTATGGGGTTTGTAAATGAGGCCCCAGCAGAGAGGGGGTATTCAGGGAGTAATGCAGCAAAGGGGACCCAGCTATGGAGCGAGACAGCAGCAGAGAGGGACCAAACAGGACCCATCTGGAGCACCTGCTTTTGTGCACCTCACTAAGCAGTGGTGGACAGGCCAGTCTGCACCTTGCCAGCTCAAGGCTATCAGAGACCCTCAGCCTTGACTGAGAGCTGAGCTAAGAATGGGGTAAGTTTTCCCCATCTGCCCATGAAATGATCCTAGGGGGCAAGGACTGAAGCAAGCCTCAGTGCTCACCCAGAAACACGAAGGACATGCTTCATGCCCCATATCCCAGGGCAATAGGAAGTAGCAAGATTCTTCTGCCCTAGAAGTTTTAGAAATATGAAAAAAGAAACTAAAACCACACTCCAAAATTGTGTCTAACCCTTGTTATTCCCTCAGGGCTAATGATTATGTCTCCAAGATCTCATGGATCTTAGGTTTTAAACTTTTTTTTTTTTTTTTTTTTTTTTTTTTTTTTTTTTTAAAAAAAAAAAAAAAAAAAAAAAAAAAAAGAGGACGATAAATCTTTCACTGTTCACAGAGAGCCACCTGCCTCTGCCTCCCGAGTGCTGGGATTAAAGGGGTGGAGACAGGTCTGAAGTATTCTAGGCTGGTCTAAGACAGACTGTGTAGCAGAGGATGACCTTGAGCTTCTACTCCTCTCTACCTCCTGAGTTCTAGCTTGCACCACCAGTTTATACAGGGCTGGGGAATGAAACCACGACTTCATGCACGCTAAGCGAGCACTCTACCAACTGAGCTATATCCCAAGTCCTGTTTTCAAACTTAAAAAAACAATCCTTTCCCTTTTTTGTTTTGAGACGGGGTCTCCCTGTAGGCCTAGCTGGCCTGGAACTCACTATGTAGACCAGGCTGGCCTTGAACTCACAGAGATCTGCCTGCCTCTGCCTCCTGAGTGCTGGGATTAAAGGTGTGCGCCACCACTTACAGCCACCACTCCCAAGCCCTTTGGAGGCCAGAGGAGGGTATCAGATCACCTGCCTGGTCTACATAGAGAGATCCAGGACAGCTGGGGCTATAGGGAGACCCTGTCTCAAAAAGACCAAAAATAAAAAAATTAAAATAAATAAATAAATAAAGGAACCTCAGAGAAGGAGCCATCATCCTCCCTGAGTAGGGAGCCCAGGGAGAAATTTGGAGCAGCACTGAGTGCTGGCAGAGCAACAGAGAGAACCCTGTGACTGTCACTGGAGGTTTAAGTCTCACCGTTCTGCTTTTCTTCCATAACTTTTCCCCATTCAGTCTGAGTTCACCTTTGTAGAACGCATCTTCTACTTTGCTGTTAAAAACAAACAAAAAAGACTTAAAATGCCAAAAAGCATTCAATAATTATACAGGTTTGAGAAAACTCCTGCTGTTAATATATATTCTGACAGTGACTCCCCAATGAAATCTCCATTTTGAGTACTGAAAGTTGGCATTGTCCATATACATCTAAAACAGGTGACTCAAGGGCATTTCCAATTAGATGCTCAAATGCTGCAAGGATCTGCCAGTACTGTTGGGTGGATAATTGGATGGGGCTTTATGGGTGGTTTTGGTAGGGATGCTAAGTGCCATTCACCTACTGCAGCAACTGCATGGCAGTCACACAATAAGGACAACAGTCAGAATGAGTAGGCACTTCCTTCCCCTCAGATACCTGCTCTGCACTGTGAGAAAAACCAGGCACCACACATATGGCCAGGCCATTAAGAAACTGCCAGTCTGCACTGAAGTTGGAGCAATTCCAGTATGACAGCTCTTCATCTCTCTGAATTTAAAACACTGGGTGACCAAGCCAGTGGAAGATGGAGACAAAAACCAGTATCCTTTCCTTTAATGATCTGACTCCAGATGACTGACATTTGAGGCTCAGCTTAACAGAAGTAACAGCTACTACTCTGGGAGAGTAGACCCTGGAGGAACCTGCCAGATAATAACCAGCAATCAGGATGCCCAAAGCCAGGTCCTATGGGCTCTACGTCATCTCTATGAGTCTTTTCAGTTCCACAGATTAAAAAATTAAAATGTGCAATTTAAACTATGCCATAAAGATACACATTACAGACTGGGCATGGTGGCACATGCCTTTAATCCCAGTATTTGGGAGGCAGGGGTGGGCGGATCTTTGTGAGATTGAGGCCAGCCTGGTCTACAGAGTAAGTTCCAGGCAGGCCTTGTCTTTAAAAAAAAAAAAAAAAACCAAAAAACAAAAAACATTTCATAAGGAAATCTTTCTGAATTTACTATTATCACAGTTCTTACCTTGCACACACAATCAATGATGCTAAAAGAATAAATGAACACTGAGAGTCACTATTAGAATTCATCAGCAGAGAGAGAATGAATGTATTAAGAGAATTGCAAGTTATACTCGATATATTTGTTACACATGAACATAGTATTTTCTTTATAATAGCTAAAATACACTGAGTACCTGCTACATGCCAGGCAGTTACAAGTTCCTTACATCCTTATTAGATCTAGCAACTAGCTGGACCTGGTGGCTCATGCCTGCAATCCCAGCATGTGGCAAAGCTGAAGCACAAGGACTTCTATGAATTTGAGGCACCAAGGACTAAATAATGAGTTCCAGGTCAACTTGGTCTGTAGTGTGATAATGGGGGTTAAAAAGCTGAAAAACAGGCTGGAAAGATGGGTCACTGAGTAAAGGAGATTGCTGCACAAGCTGGAACTCACATAAAAGTAGAAGGAAAAAGGTGACTCCACAAAGTTGTCCCGACTTCCACATGTGCAGTGACATGCACACCCCACCCCATTCATATACATACACAAATGCATTTTTTGGTGGGGGAACACGGTTTCACTATGTAGTCCTGTCTGGCCTTGAACTCACAGGGATCCACCTGCCTCTGTCTCCTAAGACCTGGGCTCAAAGGCATATATCAACATATCTGGCCACAAATTTTTTAAAAGCTGACCCTCCCCCCCAAGAAAAAGCCCCTAAAACCCTGGGCAGTGAGATGCCAGCCTGGGTTAGGTAGTGAGTGAGCTCTAGGTCAGCACAAATTACATATTGAGATGCTGTCTCAAAGGAAAGAAAATCCTAGCCATTATCTTCTAGCGTAGCTTCTACGAGTCCTATTTTACAGAGGAGGAAAGAGTATTTAAGAAACTTGTTTAAGGTCGCACACAGAATCCTAGTAGTCTGCCCAAGAGTCCACCTTTTTTTTTGGAGACAGTCTCAATATTAGCCTATGGTCGCTTTTGACTTGAGAGCCTCCTGACTCAGTCTTCCATGTGCTGGGATTAGAGGCATGAACCAGCACTCCAACTCAAGAGCCTGCATTCTTTTGTGTGTGTGTGTGTGAGTGCAGATATGTGCGTGCCACAGCGAAGCACTGGGGGTGAGAGGACAACACGTAGGAGTTGGTTCTTTCCTCTTACCTTGTGGGAATGGGGATCAAACTCAGGGTATCAGGTTTATCTACAACTGCCTTTACTCACTGAACCATCTTGTTGACCCCAAAATTGTTTTCTTTCTTTAAAAAACAATTTGGGGGGTGGTGGCTGGAGAGATGGCTCAATGGTTAAGAGCACTGGCCGCTCTTGCATAGGACCTGGGTTCAATTCCCAGCACTCACATGCAACCGTCCATAACTCCAATTCTAGGGGAATCCACTGCCCTCTTCTGACCTCTGCAGGCACTGCACAACACAGGTGCACTCTCATACATGCAGGCAGTATACTCAGACACATAAAATAAAAAATACTAATTTGGCCAGGCGTGGTGGCGCATGCCTTTAAATCCCAGCACCCAGGAGGCAGAGGCAGGCTGATCTCTGTGAGTTCCAGGCCAGCCTGGTCTCCATAGCAAATCCAGGCCAGCTAGGGCTACAGGGAGACCATGTCTCAAAAAAAAAAAAAAAAAACCCCAAAACTAATTTTTTGTTATTTACTTAGTATGTGAGTATGGGTACATGCATGCCATAGCACAGGTATGGAGGTCTGTGGACAACTTGCAGGAGTCAGTTCTCACTACTATGTGGGTCCTAGGAATTAACCCAGGTCATTAGGCTTGGCAACAAGCACCCTTATCTGTTAAGCCATCTTGCTGGCGCCAGAACCTACACTGCTAGCTGCTGCCTTCTTTTCTCCTATTGGTTCTGGGTCTACCTTCTCATAGTCTGGCATATCCCCATGATTTCTATGCTTGCTATCTAACTGTAATACAGTAATTGCTTTCTTCTTAAGAAGCTGTTATTGGGGGTAGAAGTGTGGCTCAGTGGTAGAGCACTTGCCTACCATGTGCAAGGCTCTGGATTTGATTCCTGACATCAGGAAGAAAGGAAAAAGAAGAGAAGTCTGTTATTAAATCGAAGGCTCATGGTACACTCAATTGTGTCTTAAAATGAAGGAAATGGGGCACACAAAATTTGAAGGCAGTAACCTGACTTTATTGGGAATCAAGATTCCTCATCTGTAAAATGAGATAATGGAAACAGGTTACCTACAGAGTCCTTTTATACCTGTGGTTATTATTCCCTATAACACAATCTAAGTAACTCGTAATGGTACGGAGAACCAACAGGTACATTTAAAATAAAGCCCACATCATACTCACTTTCTCCCAATATCAAGGCCTGTCTTCAGGACAACATCATACCGAAAAGACTGCACGACCTTCTCCAGATCTTTGTAGTCCTTGACCACACCAGGCTTATCCTCAAGCTCCTCCTCCTGCTCATGCCTCTCCGTGTTTTGGCTTTCCTCATCAGAGTCCTCCTCATCTGCTACTTTTTGCAGAGTCTTCTTAGTGGATTTTTTAGAGCTTATATTGCTTTTGAGTCGTACAGAAAATGGAAAAATACATTCTGGAGATACTAAAAGCCCTGGAAGTCTCAGAGAGAAAATATCATGGAAAAATGTTTTGTAATTTGATGCATTTAACTTGGTACTAGAAAAATATAAGTATCGATTCCAGGAAGCATAGAGTTTGTGTGAAGATGTCCCTTGAAGCACACCCCAGAGTCCAATCCAGGCATCTGGCTTTCTTATAGCACCAGTGAGTAGCCTGACACTAGTCATAGCCATAGTGCATATAACCTGAAACAGAAAAAAATTCAACTTTATTTCTATTGAAATAAAGCCCAGTGCTACACCGATCTCAGAACATGAAGCCTGCACACGAGCCTCGAGCACTTTACATCTAGCGCTATATTTACATATCCCTGTGCAAGAAAGGCTATATGGGTCTGCTCAGTCCAGGCCATGCATCACAGCAGGGTGAGTCTTCCAGCTGCAATTCACATGCCTGCTCAGCTCACAGGGCTGTCTCACAGTCCAATGAGACACAAATAAATGTATGAAAATACTGATTATACTCTTCTTCCTCTCCCCAATTAGCTTTGAGTATTGACTACTATTGAAAAATATTAACAGTTCTCAATTTATTTGTTAAAGAAAAAAGAAAAATTTGGAGGATGACTTATGGGCATATACCATACCCTTATACTACTGACACTGCCAAGACCAGATGATTGTGACTTTATAAAATCTAGAGTGAGGCCTGGAGAGATTGCTCAGTGGTTAGAGCATGCTCGTACAGAGGACCCAAGTTAGGTTCCCAGAACATCAGGCAGCTCATAACTCTAGTTCCAGGGGATCCAATATCTTTGCTCTTGGAGGCACCTGCACTTACATACATACACACACACGTGTACATAATTAAAAACTAAAAAAAAAAAGTGAATCAACTATTTCAACCTCCAGCCCTGATGAATCAGAGTCAGGAATACACAACTGAAGAAATCTGCATGTTTCTTCCTTTCACAGCTCCTTCCCACTGCTTAGCAGAGCACTACTCACAGAGGAGAACGGGGTCTGAAGACGCCACAAATAGGCAGCCATTTTAGACATGCCAGACAGTAATCAAATCCTATAGTCACCATACATGCAGCAGAAACCATGTTATTATGATGGTGGCAGGCCTCCCCAGCACAAAAAAAGATGGTTTTAGAGATCATGATTTACTAATAAAAGATTTTGTGTGTGTGGGGGGGTACTGGTTTGTGTTTTTGAGACAGGGTCTCCCTGTAGCTCCAGTTGGCCTAAAACTCAGTAGTGTAGGCCAGGCTTGCCTTGATCTCCCAGAGACCCACCTGCCTCTGCCTTTCAAATGCTGGGATTAAAGGAGTTGTGCCACCACACCCAGCTTCATTGACTAACTCTTACAAGTCAGAAATTATCCTCATATTCTGAGTCTGAGACCGACTTTCCTTTGTCTCTGGGACTGATTTCTTTGATAATGACTCTCATTTTTAACTTCTTACTTTTCATCAGTTACAAGGTTGCATATCTCACACAAAACTCATAGCTACTTCTATGTATGGTTAAGACTTGGAGGTTGGAACAAGCTGACAACACAGGCTCAAGTCCTCTTCCTCCATTCCTGGAGTCCCATTCTAAACCCTAATGAAAAAAGAAACGATCAATTTCAGGGATGATGGGTTTTTATGTTTTTGTTTTCTGAGGCAGATCTGCTACTGTAGCCCAGGATGGTCTGGAACTCACTATGTGGCTCAGGCTGGCCTCCAACTCATGGATGATCCTTTTGCCTCAGTCTCAAAGTGCTAAGATTACAGGTGTGCACCCCATGCTTGGCAAGAAATTATATTTATACATATTCCAATTTAATAGAGATCTATTCAAAGAAAGAATGCTAATTTTAGAGAATCATGAAAAAGGAAAAAAATTGCATATTTCTAGGCTGGGGATGTAGCCCAGTTGTAGACTTCTTGCCAAACATCATGTGCAAGGCTGTAGTTTGATCCTTGCATTTCGGAATAAAAAGAAAATAGTACCTCTCCGGGTTCTAGATTTTGTAGTTCATGGTTCAGTACAATGAGCAAGGATAGTGGAGTGAGAGAAACTGCCACTCCAACTCAGAAGAAATCCCAAGAGGTACCCAGACCAGGGAGAGGATGACAGAGTGATGACTCCTGGAACCTGCAAGGAGAGAACCGACTCCTGCAAATTGTCCTCTGAGCTCCACAGTATATGCATGTGCTAGCATGTATACACACATACAAAATAATAAATAAATATCAAAAAAAAAAGTCATAGCTTCCCAGTCTTCACTGTTTCCTTTCAGGGCTATGCTGCTTTTTGTACCCACCACAGGCAGCATACTTACCTACACTAGAAAACCTAGCAGAAAATATGAACTTAAAATCATGTGTTAGCCGGGCGTGGTGGTGTACTCCTTTAATTCCAGCACTCAGGAGGCAGAGGCCAGCCTGGTCTACATAGTGAGTTCCAGGCCAGCTGGGGCTACTGGGAGACTCTAAAAAAAAAAAAAAAAAAAAAAAAAAAAAAAAAATCATGTCAACATAGCAAATGTTTCAAAATGTGAAGCCAAATATTACCTTTGTGCTTATTACTTACTCCCTCTGATCTGCTTCACTTTCTGGCACACAAACACTGGAAAATGCTGGAAGCTTAGATAAAATACATGAAAATCACAAAATTGAGCAAAGTTATTATCCTAGTTTTTGCTGGAGATGACCATTTGTAGATGTTAGCAGCGGATGATTAAGGCCTCAAGGGGGAAACCTGAACATCCAGAAATGGCCAGGAGAACCCTAAGTAGGGAGTGGGGTACCCAGAAAGGGTCCCTGGCCCCTCTAATTCAATGTAGTGCTAGTAAACTCTGGTGGGTTCTTACATTACATTTTGTTTGTTTGTTTTTTGGTCTTTTTGAAACGGTCTCCCTGTAGCCCCAGCTGGCCTGGAACTCACTGTGTAGACCAGGCTGGCCTTGAATTCACAGAGATCCACCTGCCTCTGCCTCCCAAGTGCTAGGACTACAGGCATGCGCCACCATGCCCGGCTTCATCTTACATTTTATTTATTTACTTTTTAATAGTTTATTATTTTTATTTTATGAGTATGCGTGTATTGCCTTCATGTAGGTGAGTGTATCCATGTTGTGCAATGCCCGCAGAGGACAGAAGAGGCTGTTGGATCCCCTGGAACTGGAGTTACAGACAGTTGTTAGCTGCCACATGGGTGCTGGGATTCGAACCCAGGTCTTCTGCAAGAGCAAGAACAGTGTTCTTAACCCCTGAGCCATCTCTCCAGCCCTACATTACATTTAAAAAAAAGACAAAAAAAAAAAAAAACGTGCCAATGGTGGTGGAAAATGAATGTATTCTCAGAACAGAAAAGAGGGAAAATTTAAAAAAAAAAAAAAAAAAAAAAAAAGCTGCCAATTGTGGTGGAATATGCATGTAATCTCAGCACTAGAAGTAGAGGCAGAAACAGGAGTTGAATGCCACCTCAGCTACCTAGCAAGTTTGAGGCCACTCTCATCTACATAGTGAGCATAGTGAGTTCTAGACCAGCTGTGGCTACAGGGAGATCCTGTCTCAAAATGACCCCCCCCCAAAAAAAACCCAAACAAAACAGAACGAATAAACAAAATGCAGGACTGGTCCTGGTGGCACATACCTGTAAACCCAGCAATGGGAGACAGAGAGGAGGACTGCTGCAAGTTTGAGTCCAGGCTGCTCATCTAGGGGGATCTATGGCTACAGAGAGACCCTGTCTCAAAAAGCCAAACAAAAGAAACTTAAAAGGGTTCTAGGGGCTGGGGGGATGGCTTGGTGGGTAAGAGAGCTTGCTTTGCAAACATGAGGACCTGAGTTTGAATCCCTAGTACCCATGTAAAAAGCTGAGCATGATTATGCATGTCTAACCTCAGCATTAAGAGGCAGACAAGTCGAATCTGAGAGAGCACTAACCACCTAGCCAGACTAGTCAAAATGACAAGCTTTCTGTTCAGTGAGAGACCCTGTCTCAAGGCAATAAGATGGAGAGCCATAGAGGAAGATACCCCACATCCTGCTCTAACATCTGCATGTGTGTGCATGGGTGCATAGCTACATACCCATGTGCATGCAACATAAACACACAAAAGTAAAAACGATTCTACTACCTGAAAAGGTTTCTCTTCCTTTGCTGTGGCCTTCTAATCTTCTCAATCACATAAGTGCCTCCTCCTCTGACCCTACACTGGTCATCCCTTTCCAGACTCTGCTGACACCAATAATATATTTTGTCTGTCTTTCTTTCATTTATTATTTATTTACTTATTATGTGTATGAGTGTATTGCCTGCATGTGTATAAGTACACCTGTTTCATGCAATGCCTGCAGAGGTCAGAAGAGGGCATCGGATTCCCTGGAATTTGAAGAGTTATGGATGGTTGTTAGCTGACGTGTGGCTGCTGGGAATTGAACCTAGCTCCTCTGAAAGAGCAGCCAGTACTCTTAACCACTAAGCCATCTCTCCAGCCACCGTTATTTTTTTCAGCTAACCTAGGATGCTTCATAGGAGCAAAGGCTGGCCTTGAACTTTTTATCCTTCTGCCTCAGCCTCCCAAGTACTGCTAAGACAGATAAAGGTTACTACACCTGGTTTTGGTGGCCCTAAATACCATCTGTATGCCAAATTATTTCCTCCCAAATTCCAGACGTGTATACTTGGGCACAGTTAGTATGAAGGACCTGAGACTGTACTCTTTGGAAAGGCCTGCTTCTAAGCTGGGTACTGGGCTTCGGCAGTGTCCCCCAGTCCCTAAACTGATAGTCACTCACTGAAACTGTACGATTTGCTTTATGTCAAACACCTACCTGGGACTCTTACACAATTTGTTGCTGGAGAAATTACATGTCTTTTTAAAAAATATTTATTATTTTTATTTTCTGTGTATTGCTTGCATGTGGGTACGTGCACCCATGTTGTACAATGCCTGTGGAGGTCAAAAGAATGTGTCAGATCCCCTGAAACTGGAGTTATGGACAGTTGTTCACCACCATGTGGGTGCTGGGAACTGAACCTGGGTCCTCTGCAAGAGTAGTCAGTGCTCTTAACCACTGAGCCATCTCTTCCGCCCTGAGAAATTACATGTCTTGTGTGCCGTGCCACTGGGAGAAGACTCTTTACTTTGTCCCCTCATTTTCCCACTTTGCTTATTTTGCTTCATATCCCCATGCTATAATAAATCACAGACATAAGTATGGCTGTATGCGGAGTCTTATGAATCTTCTTTGTGAATCAACAAATCCTGGGTGGGGGATCCCCAGCACAATGTCCAATTGCCTATGTGACATCTCTACATGGATACCTTACAGTTAGTCCAAAAACAAACTCCTGATCCCTGAGCTGTTCCACCTGCAGCCTTCCTTTTCTCAGCTAATTGCTTAAGACAGAAGCTAATGGTTGGCCTTTTTATTTACTTTTCATTTTATGTGTATGAGTGCTTTGCTTGCATTTATGCAAATGCATCCATTTGTGCAATTCCTGCATAAGCCAGGGATCCCCTGGAACTGGAGTTATGGGTAGTTGTTAGTCACCATGTGGGTGCTGGGAAAACCAAACCCAGGTCCTCTGTAAGAGCAGACAGTGCTCTTATTGCTGAGTCATCTCTCTAGCCCTGGTTTTTCTTCTTTTCAATACAGGGTCCAGCTGTCCTCCAATTCACAATCCTCCTGCCTAAGCTTCCCAAGTGCCGGAATTGTAAGTGTGCCCTCCCAGGCCCAACTTCTAGTGATTAATTTTTTTCCTTGCTTTAAGACAGAGTCTCAAGTAGCCCAGACTAGTCTCAAATTTTCTAGGCTGACGTTGAACTCCTCTGCCTTCACCTCCCAAGTGCTGGAAACAGGTGTATAAACAACATGCCTGGCTAGTTTAATTTTAATTATTATTATTGCATATGTATATGTGCATATAATTCATGAAGAATAGGGAGGCATGAGTATATGTGGAGGCCAGAGACCGTCTTCCAGGAGTCCCTTCTCCCCTTTTACCTTCTATTTATTTTTGAGGCAGGGTCTGTCTTGTTTCTGGCACACTGTGTACTCCAGGTTAGCTGAATCCAGGCAATTCTCCTGTCTCTGTTCCCATCTTGCCTTAGGCATACTGGGATTATGGATTTGTACCACCCATTTAGCTTTTTTTGTGGGATTTCCAGAGATCAACTCAATTCCACAGCCTGGACAATTTAAAATTTTATGTAGCTGATGGAGTCTAGGAAATTGAAGGTCTACTGCATCTAAAAAAAAAGACAAACCAAACCAAAAGACCTTTTTTCCCTTTCGCAGACTTCAGATGCTGACCTCTAGTGAAGTGCCTTGTGCCTTCTTGTATTATAACAAAGTGGATGAATTATGGGGAGGCATGCCAGACAGAGCTTGTTTTTGTAACAAAGCCACTTACTCTCTTGATAACCCATTAATCCATTCACAGGAAAGAACTTTCGTGACCTATTCACTTCCCAAAGGTCCAGCCTCTCAACAGTGCTGCATCCAATTTCTAACACATGAAACTTTGGAACACGTTCGCACCAAACCTGGAACCTCCTTGTTCTAGATGGGCCAAAAACACACTTGCCTAGATTATTCGCAAAGGTAACTTACCTTCTTCAAGTGAAGGTCCCCTTGGGAAGCCGAGGCAAAAAACCTTCATGAGCCTAGGAATTTGAGACAAACTAGGTAACACAGCTGAGTCCAATAACTCACAGGCTAGGTTGGCAGAACATATATCTCTATTCTTTTTAAATTGCCCAAACTGTGGAATTCAGTTGCAGCCATGGAAAGCAAACTGAGAATGGTCCCTTATGTAACTGCCCTTCAAATGAGGCCTACCCATTCTCACCTTCCATCCCACCTTCCCAATCCTTCTTAACTCACTTTTCCCCCATAGCACTTATCACATGCTGCCCTTTAATTTACCGAGTATTGTTTGTTTGCATGTATATAATATCCCTAAGAGTAGGATTTTTCACCCCATTTTTTTTCTCGGTTTTATCAGTGCAGAGAGTAGTGCCTGAAACATGGTAAACGTATGGAAGCTAGGCATGGTGGCACAGGCCTGGGAAGTGAAGGCAGCTTAGGTGTTCAACTTCATCCTCTACTACATAGTGAGTTCAAGGCCAGTCCGGGCTATGTGTCTCCCAGTCTCAAAAAAACCAAAACTGGGAGGAGTGTGGGGGTGCACACCTTTAATCCCAGCACTTGGGAGGAGAGGCAGAGGCAGACAGAGCTCTTTAAGATAAAGACCAGCCTAGTTTACATAGCAAGTTCCTGGCCAGCTGGGGCTACAGGGAGACCCTGTCTCAAAAAAACAAACACAACATGTGAAATGACAGTACGCCAAGAAGGCTGTTGCGGTTTGCACTTGAGTAAGGGGATGACTAGGGGAGGAAGCCCGTAGATGGTTTCGGTGAGATGTCTATAAAGCTGCAGAATCAGCAACCTAAGACTAGCAGATGAGCAATGCTTAGGATACAAAGGCAACGCTGTCCTTGACCTGCACGATGCTGGGAATCACTCCACGTTCCTGTCACCTCTCGGAAAGATGGGGAGCCTGGCCTAAACTCTGTGAGGTCTACTGCAGCTAAGAAACTCTTCCCTCTGCCAGCATCGGAGACTGAGGTCACGGTTCCCCGAGCCCTCCTCATGTCCAAGGTCAAAACTGGGCACACACGTCTCCGGCTCAGTGTTTGGAGCCAGCCCTAGCAGCGCAGCCCAGGGGCATACAGCCTGGGCCCGCCCGATTCCCACCATCCTGGGGCAGCCCTGGATTCGAGGGGCGTCCTGAGTCTTGCCCGACTCGAGGGACGCCGGTGACATCCGCAAACACGGCGGGGATGCGGCGGGGCAGAGCTGGGCCGGGGACGTTTCACCCCTGAAGCCGAGGGGTGGGAGCAGGGGTGTCGCGCCGGTAGGGGCGCACTCACCTGCGCTCTCCGGGCGGCAAGTCCCTCCCTCCCTGCGGCCGCGCCGACTGCAGGCCCCGTGGCCACCCTAGCTGCCCCTGCACCGCCCCTTCCGCCCGCGCCGGGTCAGCCAGAGCGGACCCCGCGGCCTCGGAGCACTGTGACGCCGCCACAGCGACCCCTACTGGACGCCACGCCGTGGAGGACCGCGCTGGCCGCAGGGGACTGGCCCGCCGGGCTGAGCCAGGTGGCGCCTCCCCGCCCACGTGTCTCGGGACAGCGTGGTATAAAAGCCAAGGCCCTTTGGAGTAGCCAAAGCTTTGGATCTCTTTGAGAGCTCTAAACCTTGCCTCCAGAAAAATGTCCACAGCATGCTAGGATTTGGAATTTAAGAGTTCAGAATAGGGCTGAGCAGTTAAGACCAGTTGCTGTTTTTGCAGAGGATTCGTGTTATGTTTTCAGCGCCCGCATAGCAGCTTAAAACTGTCTGGAACTCTAGTTCCAGGGATCCGAGATCTCCATGGCCATCAGGCACACACGTGGTACACACATATACATGCTGGCAAACACTGATACACAAAAAAATAGAATTAAATATTTTTTAAAAAGTGCAGAACATCTTTTCAAGAACAAAATAATTCAACCTGGCGTGGTTGGTTCATGCCTATAATGACAATATTTAGGTGGTAGAAGTAGGAGAATCAGTTCAAGGTCATCCTTGGGTATGTGTGAGCCAGGATGAGTTATATGAGACCTGTCTGAAAGCAAACAAATACCTCTTGCAAGGTACAGCTCATACCAGTAATCCTAGCACTTGGGAGATGAAGGCAGGAGGCTAGGGCATCAAGGCCAGTCTTGGTACATAGCAAGTTCCAGGCTAGCCTGGACTACATGAAGCCATGTTTCAAAAACCCAACAACCTGGGCAGGCATGGTAGTGCATGCCTTTAAGTTCAACACTTAGGGGCCAGAGGCAGGCAGATGTCTGTGAGTTGGAGGCCAGACTACATCGTAAGTTCTAGGCTAGACGGGCTACACAGTAAGACCTTGTCTTAAAAATAAAACAGAACAAATAACTTTTTTTTCTCCCCTCCCCACAAAAAAATCAACTGAGTCAACACCCTCTGTTCATTTTGTTTACCACGTAATAAGACATTGTATAGACAAAGAGGTGGAGATCTAAGAAAATGTCACTTAGTGTGGACATGTGGAAACAACCCTTTTGAGAAGCAATAAAAGGGTCTGGATATGAGGAAGACTTTTAGTAGGTCGGTCTGTTTCATTGATGTTTATACATGTTTACATTAGTGCTCACTGGGATACATGCTCTATTAAAAGAGAAATAACACTGCTTTTTTTCCCTCTTCAGATCATCCTCTTTTTAAAAAAATATTATTTTTATTTTTTGTGTATGAGTGTGTTGCCTGCATGTATCTGAGTGCAACCGTGTCGTGCAGTGCTGCGGAGGTCAGAAGAGGGCTTTGGATTCCCTGGAACTGGAGTTAAGGTCGGTTTGTAGCTGCCATGTGGGTGCTGGGAATCGAACCCGGGTCCTCTGCTAGAGCAGTCAGTTCCCTTAACGGCTGAGCCATCTCTCCAGCCCCCAGAGCACCCTCTTTTATCTGCTCTGCTCCTTGCACTTTCATGAATACTGGTTTCTGATAGCTTCACACAGTGACTTCTTGGTTGCATTTGTATAAGAAACAGCAGTTACAAATTGTTTCAAGTGTTGAAATGATACATTACATTTAACATTGTGAGGGATACACAGTTGCATTTACTAGTTTAAGTAATTTGAAAAAGATTTCAGATACATTCTTAATATATCTACTCAATAGGCAGTTGATTAGCATTATTGTAAACAAAATTGCGGTATAACTGCATGATTTTGGAAGAAGTTAAAAGAAAGCAGTAATATTGGATTACTTACAACTAATTTGGTCACTGATCTTTTAAAAAAATAAGTATTTCTGGGACAACAGGGAGATTCTGTTAAGCAACAACAACAACCCTTAAAAAAGCATTTCATCAGGTGAATCAAATTGAGTTTTGTTGTTCTTTTGAGACAGGGTCCCCAGCTGGCCTGGAACTTGCTATATAGACCAGGCTGGTCTCAATATCACAGAGATACTCCTGTTTCTCCAGTACTGGGATTAAAGGCATGTGCCACTAAGACCAGCCAAATTAATTTTTAAAACTTAAAATTGCTGCAGTGAGATTAACAGGTATTAGCTATACCATGTATTATATGATAGTGTAGTTAATGATAGTAATATGCTATAGAGTTTCAGTATACTAATTTTTTGTTTGCTTTTGCTTTTGAGACAGGATCTCCCAAAGCCCAGGCTGGCCTCAAACTTGCTCTGTTGCCAGAGGCTGGCCTTGAACTCCAGAGCCACCTGCCTCCACCTCCCAAATGCTGGGATTACAAATTTGTGGCACTATACCTGACTTTACTATTTATAAATATATGTCCGGGCTCCAGCTTTTAATTTTATTATCCTCTCCCTCAGCCTTTTAAGTGCTGAGATTACAGTCATGGATCACCATAACTGGCTTGCATGGCTTTAAATACTACCTAATATGTTTTGGATGTAAAATATCCCTGACAGTCTCCTATGTTTGAACACTCGATATCCAGCTGGTGGTGCTGTTTTGAGAGATTGTGGAACCTGTAGGAGGTGAGGGCCTAGCTGGAGGAAGTGGGCTGCTAGGGGCAGGTCTTGAAGTTTATAGCTCAGCCTTATTTTCCCTCTGCTCCCTGGTCCACTGATGTGAGTAACTAGCTGCCACTGACTCCCATTGCCACAGAACCTCCTGACACCATGTCTTCCCTCCTCTGGTAGATTACATCCCCTCAAGTTCTAAACCAAATTAAACATGTCCTTCCTTAAATCACTTCTTGTCAGGCTTTGGTCACAGTGATGAGAAAGGTGATACAGAAAATTTGTACCAAAATTGGGTCATTGCTATAACCTGACCATGTGGTTTTGTGGGCCTGAAAAAGTGGTTTGTGGGAGGAATTTCGAAAAGTGTGGAGCTGTGGGCTGGAGAAGCCCCAGAATGCTGTAAACTAAGCTTAACGGACCATTTTGGGAGCGTGGATGACTGGAATGCTGAGAGAAAGATGATGTAGATAATGACTGTGAGCATGAGGTTTTGGAGGGGAATAAGGGCTTTCTGAGAAATGGACTAGAGGCATTCATGTTCTATTCTGGCAAAAAATCTGGCTACATTTCTGATGTGTCTTGATAATTTCAATGAAGTTAAATCCTAAGGTAATGGCCTAAGTTATTTGGCAGAAGAAATTCAAAATAGTATTATATTCAGGCAGTGGCATTATTATTACTGCATTTAGTGAGGTTTATACTGATAATTCAAAATCAGAAAGATATGAAAAATGTGAAGATTAGTTATGAAAGGAGAGATTAAAGTCATGGACAGAATGGCTGTAGTTGTTAAAGAGATTAGTATCAATGAGGAGAAACCTTAGATTCTGTACTGGGATAGTAAGAAAGGTGGTCAGAGGGTAAGATCCTTCTCTTGGAGAGCCCAGGAGCATAAAAATGTCAATTCATTTGAAAAACTTTCTTTTAAAAAGAGAATTTTTGTCGGGTGTGGTGGCGCACGCCTTTAATCCCAGCAGGCGGGGGCAGGCGAATCTCTGTGAGTTCAAGGCCAGCCTGGTTTACATAGCGATTTCCAGGATAGCTGGGGCTACAGGGAGACCCTGTCTCAAAAAAAATAAAAAAGAGAGAGAGAGAGAGAATTTTTGAACTAAGACTCCAGATGATCCTGCTCAAGCAGAGCCTCCTAGGAAATGTACCCAGGATCAGCAGCAAAAACAGAAAAGACTGCTGCAGGCAGGCTGTGTCTTGAGCTGGTAGCAGGCTTGGTGATACCCATATGGTACTGGTTTTGAAGGGTATGGAAGATGTAAAGGTGAAGGAGTCACAGAGGTCTGCACCAAGGTTCCAGAAAACTGTTAAGACGAGGCACCATGTAAAGAAGCCGTATTCTCCACATGAAGTGCTTGAGAGGGCTGTGCGTGAGGCTGCGAGGCTGAAACTTAGGTTTCAGTGGAGACCCCAGGATACCGGAGATGCCAGGTACATTGGGCGTTCACAGAGAAAAGCTGTAGGCATTGAGTTGAGATAACCTAAGGTCACATGTACCACAGGCATCAGATATGTAGAAGTGGAGTTACCCAAGCCCATTGGAGCCTAGATGATGCCAACACGAGCCCTGAATGCTGGACATGAAACTGCAGGGTTTGGTGTTTATCCTGGTGGTTTCTGTATAGCTTTTGTCTAATTTTTCCATGTTAAACATTCCTATTCCACCTTTTTGGAACAAGACTGTTTACTTTGTCCTGTTGTATGTTGGAAGTAGGTAACTTGTCTTTGGATTTTGTAGTTAAGTACTACTTTAAGTCCTGGTAGAGATTTTGGACTTTTGAAGTGTTTGGACTCTTAAATATTATGGGGAGTTTGGATTAAATGCATTTTGCATTGTGAGATAGTCATAAGCCTATAGGGATCAGAAGCAGAACATTATGGTTTGGATGTAAAGTGGCCCTGATAGGTTCATGTGTTTGAACACTTGGTACCCAGCTGATGGCACTGTTTTGGGAAGTTGAAACCTTTAGAAGATGGGTACCAACTGGAAGAAGTGGGTCACTCGGGAGTAGGCTTTGAGCCTTATAAAGCCTAACTTCTTGCCCTCTCTCTGGTTCCTGATCCACTGAGATGTAAGTAGCTGCCACATGCTCCTACCATCATGGAGCCAACCACCACCATACTCTCCCACCATAATGAACTGTTTCCCCTGAAACAGTAAGCCAAAACAAACATTTCCCTTTAGTTGATTCTTGTTAGGTACTTTGGTCATTATGCTGAGAAAAGTAACTAATATACCACCAATATGGCGAATACTTCCTTACCAATAGATATCCCCATTCTAGAACTTTCTCCCAAATTTTAGACTTGTGTATTTGAGAACTTGTTTGGAGGTTCTAGCAGGAGAGCGCAGCTACTCGTATACCCTTGACTGAAGACCGGTCCTTCTCTATCGGGGAAGGTTGTCCTCTTCGACT